AGATGTGTATAAGAGGCAGATACTTCACATTTCAAGAAGCAGACAATCAGTACTGTACTTTTTTTTGTTGATGATGCTTGCTACATTGAATGGTCATTTAATATAAGAGGTAGCTTATAAATTACATTGGAGAATTATCTTTTTTGGCGAGTCCAAATATTTTTGTCTATCAAAATAACAAAAATTTTATGCAAGAATGCCACTGTGCTAGGAATTTTAAATGTAAGAGTGCATGCAGAGAATAAACTCGCAAACATTTTTTACTGTCAATGGTCAATACGTTTGAGTTGCATCTAATATTGTTAAATAATTCTATGACCTAAAAAAATATACAAATAAGCTTTAATGAATTCAAGCATAAAATCTACAACCACTAAAATATAGACCTTAGATATTACAGTAGTTAGAATATTGCACTTGCAAACACTAGGGGAAAGAATTCTACCTTAAGTTAGTTTTTTGAAATAAACATTAATTTAAAAAATACAGTAGCAGCATTGGTTGATCAAAACTTCTAAACCTATAAGTAAAAAATATAAAAATGAATGTAACAGAATAAACATTAATTTAAAAAAAAAAGTAGCAGAAATTGCTTGATCAAAATTTCTAAACCTATAAGTAAAAAATAAAAAATGAATGTAACAGAACAGCATTCATTTTTTGCAAAACCATTTGGGTTCATTTTGTATTTTACATCAGCAAAGATAAAAGAAGCCACAACATATATCAAAATGTTTATTCAAATTATAAATATTAAATAAAAAATATTAGTAATATGGTTATCGCATTCCAACAGCGGATCACATTTTTGTTATGCCAGTATACACTACATTTATTAGTTGCTGGGGCTTAAACACTCTGTTCTGATTTGCTGGTTCTATCCCAAGATATTCCTAGGTCAGATCCAGCATGTATGTGATCTAAGTGGTTCCTATCTTGAGTTCACATTCAACTATAAAATAAACCAATGAGCTAGCATCCCAACCTTCAACTCAACTGAAAAAAATATTTTCTCAGGTAAAAGCGCTTTTAGGTGAATTCATACACTAGCGATTAAAATGAAATGTAATAATCCATAATCCTAATCCTCATCTGAAGAGGAGTCGCTATTGAATGATTGCGTAGAGTAGCATCTGCAGAGGTCAATCAACTTCTCGAGGCTTTCGTTATAATCATCTGATTCGAGTCCATATTGTTCGTAAGTGTTAAATTTCTTGATGTCCAATTTTTTTGCTTCCTTGTGAAGAGTTTCCAAGGTTGTCTGTAAGCCTGGTGTTGATTGGATAGAGGTTACCATGGGAACACTCCTCGTAACTATAAAATAAAAATATGAGTTTGTATTATAATAATAATTTCATGATTACCTTTCCTTCTAATGTCTGTGTCAAGTTCCCAAACACTAATTTGGAGTAAATTTGAGTCTCAAGTGCCACAGAAATTGCTTTTGAAAGATGAAAGATTATACTGTACATCAGTATGAAAAGCAAAACTAGCATTTTAGATACTTGTTCTTCACCTCAAGAAGGGTACTATGTACACAGAAGCTCATCCACTGTGTACTATAATACACTGCCTCATATTAATAAGCAAGTATGTATTATCATTAAGCTTAAGAACCATTGTAATTTGTAAGTTAACATTTTAACAAAAACAAAATCAGCATTTGGACTAGGGACCCATGGATCTCACTTTTGTTCAGCATAACCTTAATGGCATTTATCAATTGTTAAAATGCTGACATTCTTTATGGCAACAACATAAACTCTTTAAAACTAAAAACACACCTTCTGGCTTCTCTTGCCCAGGGCTGAAGGTAAATCCATCTTTATCCAAAGTTGGTGGAAATATTCTAGGATAGGGGGTAGCAACTTTTGATGGTTCTGTCACTACTTTTCCAGAGCTGAAAACAAAGAAAAACCATAAACAAGACGATTTAATCCACCATTGTCTGAATAAAGAGGGATAGAAATTTTAGATGTATTGTTAGAGACCATAATTTTCTCTTAAAGTATGGTGTATCAATATTAGGCCAAAAAAAAATAATTTTTTGTATTGGCCACAATTTGGATGTTAACCAAGAATGTGTTTCCACTTAAAAAAAATAGAAAATACACCAATAGTACAAAAATTTTGGATTCATATTGCATACCACGCACCAAAATAGGCTAGGCCTTGGCCCAAGGCTATTCCAGCCTTATTAGCTCATGAAAAAAAAAATATTGTTCCTTGTAGTCCAAAAAAAAAAAAAAAATCTAAAATGCCGACCGCGAATTTCGTAAAATTTAAGTCGGTCGGTCGTGGCCAACATAATAATTTTTTTTTTTGGCCTTATATTTTATAGTAACTATAATGAACAATTAGTTTGAGAAATTAATACTGTCATTTTGAAAGCGGCACATTTCCATTTCAGAGAGCCGCTTGTGCAGCCATTTTACACTCGATGGTTGCATCAGTTTCTTCAGAGCTTGTCTTGTGCTATATTATCAGTGGACCTTTAATGTAGGTTACGATTTGCATGTTAAACTTACTTGCGTGTTCTTGAGTAGGCGCCCATTAAATACATTTGTAGCATATCCTCAGTTGTTGAACATGCATCCAAGCTGGTCTTTGGAATACCATTATTTCTTCTGCAAATGAATTAAATTTATCACTACATATGCTAATAGGCATGCTAATGACAGGTGTGAAATGTACCAAAGTACCCAAATGTTAATGGGAAGAAGACATAAAGGTTGGTTGTTAAGGAGTATTGGGAAGGCTACAATTAAAACAGTACCAAAATATGTAAAAAGAAACATTTTCTTACATGTTAAGCTTCCTTTCTGAGACGCCGCGAAGAAGAACAGATTGAACAAATGGAGCTAGATTTTGATTTGAATGAGGAGTCAGACACTTCCAGAAGGGTCTATCACCATGGTTACAAAACACTGAGGACAATGCTTGATCTTGGGTCATCGCAAAAGGAAATGATGCGTTCAGTGTGGCAACCTAATACAATAAAATATAAATGTAATTATGTGACAGCTATATTTTCAATGATTTATGAATTACTATTATTACTAAAATTATTAATATTATTATTAATAACATTTTAGAATTATGTGGTGGTAAGAGACACATACCATTAAGATTTGGATTTTATTAGACAAATAATCAGGTAAATATTATGTCAATGAAATTAATAAATAGAAATTTGATTAATATTATTGTATTAAATACTGTAAATATGTATTAGCTCAAATTTTTATTAGGTATCAGGGTGGTTCACTGTAAATGATGACATAAAAACAAAAACTTTTATAGAATTACCTTTCTTCCCATTGTAGATAATGCATCAGTCAGTTGGTACAAAGGATATGAAGCGCCCTCTAGTCGAAGCGAGAGTGTAGCTGTGTCTAACACACTGGCTAATATTGCACTTGTATGGTAATTTAAGTTTGGCTGAAAATATGTATAATATTAATTCTATCATCATTATCAAAGGATTATGATTTTCATTATCATTATTAATATCATTTATGATCACTATCATAATCACTGTCTCATCACTATCATTGTTATTATCATTATCATCATCATCACCACCACTAAAACAACCATCACCATCGTCACCACTATCATAACCATCGCCACAAATTGTGTCCTTGTACACTTGACACTTTATTCATGTTTATCTCTCTACCCAGCAGTACAAATGGGTAGTTTCATTCCTGTTAGGGTAAAGGTAGTTGCCAGGGTTCCAGGCTGTGTGTTGTGTATTACTTCCAATAACAGGATAAAAATGGGAAGCATTCTGCATAATACCGCCACATTAGTATTATTGTTACTGTTCAGCTTGTTTTATTACCTTATATACTAAATTTTGGAAGTTAATAGGTGGTCCTGGTTTTCTCCAAAGAGTTTCTGCTAAAGACACCGGTGTGAAAAGCGAGCTGGACTCTGCTAAATTCTGAAAAGCTAGCGCTGCATTTATTGTATGTTGACTATCATGTTTAGGAATCTAAAGAAATAAAAAATTATTTATGTTATTAATAAATTTATTAAGATTTAGCCTCATTTGTCTTATTAAAGCTTTAATTAATAGCTTGGTAATACTAATTTACATTTTACAATATCTATAGCATTGACAAGTTTAAGTTATTTCAATATTGTTGATGACTAATAATGAAGCCGTTCAACAATTTTTTTATTTTGATGGGCTTGAGTGTTCACTTTACCCCTTCGGGAAATTGAGAGGGCGACACACCAACTGTGATGATTCCTTTGCTCCCATACTCATCAGAAAGACTCTCGAGCAGACCACTTCCAAAGCCAGAGAAGCCATTGTAGAAGTCCACCAACACCTGAAAACCCTGATACAAAAGAGGAACCACCAGTAAATAATTAATACAATACTAGTGAATCGGTAAAGGTGTGTTATTACAATACTAGTGAACAGAGGCATACATTAGAGTTCTGTCTCTGTCATATCTTATTTTTTTCTTAGCAGGTTTGTTGATAAGCTTTCTTTTCCCAGCCTGTTTCTTGGATGGAGTTCTTTTGGTTGTGAGAAAAAATAATGTTGCCATGACAGGAATTGAACCCAGAACCCTGGGATTGAAAGGCAAGCACCTTACCCACCAAGGTATTCCACTCCACTCTTAGTACATAATTATGATATACAGTGCTTAGAGACCCTGTGACATTTTCATTAGATAGTAGAAGGTGTTTAATTGGAATACCTATGAATAGGTAAATGTGTAAGTTACAATACCTGTAGATGATCACACTCCTCTGTGTAGAAATGCAGACGATCCTCCATCTGATCAGACACTTTTCCATCCTTCCATAAATTCATCCCTTGACTAAATATCTCAAATGGCTCCAACTCACTGAGAAATATAATAAAAATATTAATAATAATAATAATAATACAGTAATAATAATAATAAAAATTAAAAAAACAATAATATTAATAATAACAACAATAAAAATATTGTTTGAAGCTTTGCATAGAGAAGTAATAATATATAATGCTTGCGGTACTCCATGTAGATAGTTGAAAGAACTGTTGTTTGGTTGAGAATATCTTGACGTTTTGATTAAGTTGCTTCAATCGTCATCGGGAGATATTATTCCCCCGATGCCAATTGAAGCAACTCAATCAAAAACTCAAGACATTCTCAACAAAACAACAGTTCTTTTCAGAACTATCTACATGGAGTATCGCAAGCATTTAATATAATAATAAATATAATAATAGTAGCTTGTAAATATTATCTAGGTGTAGTAGGCCAGAATGGTTAGCATGTGGTTGAACTCATCACATCAAGGTAAAGGCCTTACTGGAAATCACGATAACCTGCTTTATATAACAGTTAATATTTATTAATTATTAAAAAATGGTTTATTAACCTTTCATGTGTATATTCTTTGATAACAGCTACAGATTTGGGATGAAGATGACATCGAAGAAAATCAGACCATACTTCAACAGAATCATCAAGATCGTATACTTTTTCCTCAATGCCAAGCTCCATTAGTTCTTCATTCATTTTATCTTCATCCATTTCAGTTGTGTCCGCCTCTTGGGAGGAGTTGTCTTCTTCATTGCTTGTTGTGCCCCCAAAAAGTTCCTAGAAAATAAATTTAAAAAATATTTTAAGAAGTACTTTTGATTTATATCCTATAAAATTATGTTGAAAATAATAATTTATGCTTTCTCATTCTTCTCCTGTGCCCCTGCCAGCCCTTGTTTCTCATACCTCCCTTGAGGGTGGCCAAATGCTCTATCATCCTGCTCCTATGCAACCCAGACAAAGTTTCCCACCACCTATCTGTGCCTTACGCATCCCATGGTTCAACATCCCTCTCCTGTGTCCCCATCTCTCCTTTAGCCCAGCATTCCTTTCCCATGCCCACCCAGCAAAATCCCCCATCAATCTCCCCTGCAGTTCATCTTGACCTGGTAAAATAGCACTTACATCCTGTTTTTCTAGATCTATCAGGAACTGGTTTTTCGGAAGTGAGCCAGCTTTATGTAGGGTCACATCGCCTGCCCTAAAAATATTGAAGTAAGATATCGATAAAAAGTAATGTAAGCTAATATGGTACAATTTAACTTATAGTTCAAACACCTAATATAAATTTATGAAGTCCAAACTAACCCAAAATATTGAAAATCTAGTGTTAGCTTTTCCTTTTGTAACAAATAAAGATATATATATATATATTATTTACCTATAAAGGGGAGGATAAAATACCTCTATAACGTTAATATAATGTTTTGGAAAGGCAACTTTTTAAAGCTTTTACAATATATTTGATATCTAATCTATTGATTATAGTCCTGTGGTTCCCATTTTACCAACCAATGTATGGGGTGAACAATAAATGGCAATGAATAATTAGGCAAAGGCCAAGATAAAAAAAATCAATTCCTAACTGACCAACCCTGCCTTACAAAAATGTTTGTACTTGGACAACACATTTGTTTGGATTAATAGAATACTGAATTAGATAATCATTATCTTGTTCTGTTGTTCAACAATACCATCTAACATCAGCTGACTCTTCAACTGTGTTGCAATCATAAAGGATGCCCTCAACGCTCAGAGTTTTCAGACTGCCCTTCAAGTCTATTGCAATTAGACGAGGGGTGTAGGTCACTTCATTCTACAAATACAATAAACAAGAAAAAATCATTAGCATTAGTCTCATAAATAAACAATAAGAATATAAAAATAATTGCCAACTTACCATAATTGTCTTGCCTTCCCTATACAGCACATCATGGTCAATTTCTTTCACCCTAGATGACGCCTGGTTGATGTCATAACAGAATGTTGATTCCTAGAAGCAGAAATGGGTCAATAATATTATATATTAATATAACATATTTTGTTTTATTGGATTTAAAATTATTAGAGTCTTATTAGTTATTTTATAAAATTTTATCTCTTATTTTACAGTTTTTGGTGAAATCATTATACATCGTCAACAGCTTTTGGAGATGCCAATTAGTCGGTTGATTCGGGGTGCCTTCTGGATTGAGTAAAGCCAGGCACTCGCTGAGCCCGACTGTCATCTGCTGACACAATTCTATGAAGAACGCGACGACGCAACATGATCATATGTAATGATGATCCGTTCAGACGACCGCTGACAATCAGAAGGCGGCATTGCGTGGTCTAGAGCTCACACGGAGCGAAGTTGGCTTCGTAGTGCGACGGTCATACGACGCAGTGATACAATGTGTGCAAATATTGCAGTGAAACTCTACAGCAACAATGTAGCGATTTTATGTAAACTCCTGTATGCATAAGTGTGGTCTGGTGGTGGGTATTTACCTAGTGGAAGAGTGCCTAGTATTTGTTTATTTATTGCGGGCACACTCTAGTAGTAGGTTTGGATTTTGATTTGATTTATTTATTAAATACCTCAACTTCATGCAAAACAGAAAAATAAAACATGTCAAAAAACTGAATGGAGATATTGGGATACCCCTATAAGGGTCCCTCACACTAAGCTGGAAATTAAATTACAAATTCAATGTAGTAAAGTTAAAAGCTAAAATGCAGCAAATAATATGAAATAAATACAAATAAATCTGAGAAAATGTTAGCTAATCTACAACAGATGATAAATGTGAGAGAAGGTGATCCTTTACCAACTTTATGAAAGCAGTACGATTACTGGTGCATTTGATAGGCTCAAGCAAGCTATTCCAGTCTTTCGTACCTATAAAATGTAGATCAGATCTTGCCTGACACTTTGAAAAATTTGTCCTACTGCTCTGGTTCGGTGGTGATGAAGGTTTGAAAGCTTTGTGAAGTAATGATGTAAATAATCAGGGCACAGATCATAATATATATTGTACATGTGACTGAGTCTTAGTTTTTGCTCTAATGTTTATATTCAACATGTTCAATGTTTTGTGCAATTTTTAAGTTTTTTGTAACACTAAGGAAAGCTAGATTTTTTACATTTATAATCTAGCTTGTCTCTATAAAAAAATTATACTCATATTTATCAATTCTTTAACTTTATAATTGGAACCTAAGACAATAAGTTCGGTTTTACCATGGTATGCCAAAAAAAAAATTAAAGCACTGTCATCTGCATATTGTAAAAGGAGGCTTTTTTTAACAGCAATTGGCACAAAAAGAACAATGGGCCAAAAGGGCTTCCTTAAAGGCACTCCCGTATTATTGGCCATTTGATCAGAAACAGAATTATTAATTTTCACGGTCTGAATTCTATTTTTAAGATACGTTCATCCAGTTGATTGATTTGACTACAAGGGCAGCTAACAATTTATTTAAGCTTCAGATATTATTAATTAAATGACTCAAAAACGGCATGGGAAAAACGGGTAAAAACGAAAGAGGCGAAACGATCAAACACTATTAATACTATCGAATTACTCTAAGCCTAGGAGGACTAGAAATGTTTACAGATTTAGGGTAGAAAAACGGCTTTTTCACGTCGTGTTTTAACGCCGGGGGTCATCTCAACAAGAACGGGCAGGCCTAGCAAGGGCCTAGCTAGCTAGGCCTAGCCTTAGTAGTATAAAGATTCCACGAATAAACATTACCTGTATATTCCAAAAATGCGTTCCAACGAAATTAGAAAAGTGACCGCATTGTATAGTTATCAATTCCCTTGGGCCCATTCTTAAAATCAGTAATATACAAATGTTAGCGAACGGGAAATAAATTACTGTATAAATGAATCCAGGTAATATTATGTTTTTATGCTAGGCTCATATATCCAGCTCAGTTAGATTGAGATTGTATTTACGACGTCCATACTGTGTAGACTAAATTTTCTAGAGGGCGGAAACTTTTTTGTAACTAATACAGTAATTTAAGATAAATTAAAGAAGAAGGACGGGTTGAAATATTCATGTTTTGAAGTGTTTTGTAAATGAATAGATACATCAGGGGTGGAAATAGTCATTGCTATATTGATTAATGAAAGAGAAAATTGAAAAAGATGAAAGGTTGCCCCATGTTGTCTTTTAGGGACCACATTTAGCTTCGGTCTTCATTGAGAGGTTTCAGGTTCGGTTACCCTCTAATTATGTTTGGAGACCACTTCTAGCCCGTGGTCTTTATATTGAGGTTTCGTATTTGAGGTACGCAGTCTCGATCGAATTGGAGGACGAATTGTATTAAATTTTTGTTGGTCATATATATTTATACGACTATGTACCTTTTAAAAAAAATTATCATGTATTGTACATCTCATAGGTATTTATATTACAGTAAACTATTGGTTTTGAATTAATTATAGTAAATTTAAGTAAAAATACACATCATTTCGGAGAGTTCTGTTGCAGTGTTCATTCAATTTACTTCTATGATTCAATCTACAGGTATTGCGACTACTTTATTTGATTTTATTTTAATCTTGTTTTGACTCAACATATATACAAGTTCATACAAATTTATTTGACAATTAAAAAATACAAAGTAAAGTGATAATTAATTTCATTAACTTACTACATGTTATGAAAAGATATACAAAGGTTATAATAAAATAAGAAATTGAAGTACACGAAATTACATTACACTAATCAATAATAGAAAAACAAAACTAAAAAAATGAAAGAAAAAGTTGCATGTATAATGTTTATTTCAAAACACAAAAATACTAAAAAGTAACTTTATGAAAGGAAAGCTGCTAGTTAAGTTAGGCATTTTATTAATTCATTAACCATATATCTGTAATGCTGTTCGTTTGTTATAAAGGGTCTTCAGTTATTCAAAACATGGTAAATTAACTCAGCCCTGAGTAATGCAAAAAAGGAAAATTAGCAATTTACATTTTCACAATTTAACATTTTTACAAAATACACGATCCGCGTAAGCATCAACCCGGGCTCTGCTGTCTTTACAACCTATTAGAAGGTATGAAAGTGTACCGTAACTAATAACAGTTTAATACATGTAATATAAAAATTGAATTAAAATCATACCACAAGATTTTAGCGTTGATTTACTCTTACATTTAATTTGATTTTGTAAGAATTTAATGCGGTGAAAGCTTGCCATTTTAATTGATAATTAAAAGAAAACCTATCTGCTGCCCTCTATACTTACTGTAACCACGATGACGATTTAGCACTCAAGTGAGCTTGTTCATTAAAAAAAGCTTCACCTCTCGGCAAATACATTACTGCGCCATTATTGTGTTCACGTCCTATCGGGTGTTCTGGCGCTTTTATAAAGGAACAGTATGGCGGACGAAGAAGTTATACCCGAAAAGCCGATACAAGTATGTTACTCATAATAGAAAATCGTTTCATTTTAGGCTGTTGTGATGCTTGCAGCTGTAACCCATATAGGAGTATTTTATAACGTAGATTATACACATTTATGTTAATTTATTTTCAGAGAAGGCTTGTCTTGGTTTTGCCTTCTTCAAAATCTTTCAGTAAATAAAGACATCCATCATTTTTTAGGTTGGTTAGTCTGCTGGTCACCTTCCAAAGTCATATTTCTATGATGTTTTTTATTTGTGTAGGCCTAGCCTAGCCTAGGCTAGATTAATTATTAGGTTAGGGCCTAGGATAGACAAGACTAGGCCTAAGGTAGGCCTATCTTAGGCAGGTCCTAGCGCCTTATCCTTATCGCGTTAATAAAAGTTAAAGGAAGCAATTAGTAAAGCTCCGCATAGTACAAGGCCTAGTATAGGAAAATTATTATACAAAGGTTAGATTTAATGCTTGAAAAAAATTCCTGAGGGCCTGCAAGCCCCGAAGGAAATTTTTGGATGCATTAAATCTATCCTAAGTATAATAATTTTCCATTAGTGTACGATGCATGCTCTACTATATTCTAATTGCTTTATAGGTCAATCGCCCTCTTTTAATTTTAGTTTTTGATAACCAACTGTTGTAGCAGTCATCAGTTGCTATAGTGATATGATCAGTATACGTGTGCGTATTTACATTTAGCGTATGCTGATTTTTGCTCTTGCAGTACGCGTTTAATTAAACCATGGAGGTATTATTGAGAAGGAGATCGCTTGAAAAAGCTACGCGCACACAGTGCTATGCAAATGAACGAAGATCAAAGCTGCCGCAGCGCTTGAAGAACGTTTGCGCAATGCCTTTGAAGTCCAATGTGTTCCCCGCCATCAAATTTTCAGCAGTCATAATTTACCAAAAAATTGAACATGGCAAAATGTAGAGCACCTTCTTTTCTCGATATGCACTACATACAGTCAGTCATTATGGCTGCGCAATCGTTTCCATTTTGAAGCTGATACATTTGTCTCTCATAAAATATCAAACATACCGTATTAATATTTTCCACCAAAAAAAGTTTAGAATTTAATGGAACATTTACATGACCTTTAAAAGTATAGTATATTTCAACTTCATTTTCCATAAATTGGCCAAAATTCGCTAATTCTAATTTTAACAGATATTAATTAATAAATGATTGAGGATTATAATAAACTAAGTCATTTTAGGATTAACAAGGGTTAACTATTCGAAGAATCAATCCAAAATCTGAGTGTTTTTCAGTTTTATGCTGAGTTAGCTTTATAGTCGAACCATTCAATCTTTAGACAGAATTATAATGAACACAGAAGTAATTTTAACATAAATATTTTACGGAATCCGTTCCTGAAATATACAAATAATAACATACTAAAAGTCCGAAAAAAATCTAATCAGGGAACATTGTTCATTATAAAGATATTTAATGGGTTAAAATCAAACGCTTTATTGCATAACTGCTCTGCTATAAATGCATGTTGTTGCCAAGTTGTTGCTAATGAAAAAATGTGAATAATAGATGATTTCATAACTAGGCTAGGCTATGGCCTAGTAGTAGTAGGAGGAGGCCTGGGTGGCCTGCCTGGCCGTAGGCCTACTGTACATCTAAATTTGTTCCTTGAGTCTTTAAAATAGGGTCTAGAATATTCCTATAAAAACGTTCAGTTTGTTGCTTTTATGAGGGTTGCATAATTTGGAAGATTGGTATACAACATTTTTACCTTGCTATTCAAGGATTTTTCGAATGAAGTACTGTATCTTTGCTTTTTTTGTACAGTTTAATCATGAAAATTCAAATTTTGATATAATTGGCAATAGCATACTGCAAGGATTCAAGAAGGCATGAACACTGCTAATGTAGGCCTAAGCTTAGTAGACTTTATCCAAAGAACTTAAATAGCAGAAAAATGAGCTGCTCCGCGTATTTGTATTAAAATTGATGGAACATCCGCCCTCCTGCGAATGGGGTAAAATTTGAGCATTTCACTACAGGAAGAAACGAACCAGAGCAGCGCCTTTATTATTACTATATAGCACCGCCACGCGGATGGGGTATAATTGCTCTCTGTGTATCCTCAATGTCTTTCGAACGGATGTTCCACTTTATTGGAAAGCCGCTCTACCTTCTGCTATTTATTATCTTTGACTTTACATACCACAGTGCATAATACTACACTGTACTTAACAATGTTATTCTTTGATAATACCTAATGATTAATTAAGGTCTAAAAATTGTGAATTATAGCCAAACCTCTAAACTTGAATATAATAAACAATAAATTTATATAATAAATGTTAGTACTATAGTTCAGATAGAAAAATAAAGTACTGTAATTTAGTCCCAATTCACCAAATAAATTCTCTCATTTTACATTGCTTCTGTCTTTCATAGATTGATCCTGAGACAACTGTCGTGGTTGCTGACGTCGCTCTAGAAAATGCTGCAGCAGAGGTACTGTACAGTATACTATTTTTTCATTAATTTTCATGCACGGGTGTCACCCTTGATTTAAGTTTTTTTTAAAGTTACTAGTACTATCTAAGGCAAGACTTTTGTTATTCCATGTTTCGTGAACCTGCCGATATGATGATTTCAAATTCTATAAATATAAAATTATATTGTTGGTCTGTTAGTGCAACAGACACTGTGAAAAATGGAAATCTATCATTTTTTTTATAATTTATTTATTGCTACCAAACATGAAAAAAAAAAAAAAAAAAAAAAAAACCTTTTTTTCCTTAAAACTGAAATGTAATTCTATGAATCAATTATCTACCTAAATAATTTAAGGAAAACTGTTTTCCTAAAATAATGAGGAAAACAATTTTATACTGCCCTCTTCTGACCAGTTTTGTAGAGGTTTGCTACACAAGGTATAAAAAATGTCTTGCCTAGTATTTGTTGGAATTGCTTCCTTTACACATTAATTTATCAGAACTTTATATGGTGGAACAACTGTGCTGGTGCAGATATAACTTGCCCTACCTTCCCATTCTAAGCTCAATATATGATGTGGAGTGGTGCTGGCACATGCCTGACTTCTAATTTCAAGCTCCTGGGTTCGAGTCTGGAAAAAACCAGGCACAAATCTGGATTTTCTCATAACTGAACACAACTTCTTTCAACAAGCCTCATAAATAGACTTATACTGTACAGCATTAAGTGCTTCACAATTATTTACACTTACTGTAAACCCAGCATGTAAGGTAATGCCTTAACATTTGAATGTTTTATTAAAACAATGTATAGTTGCTATGTTGTTTGGGTTTTCATGTAAATGCACTCATTGGTTGTTTTTATTTATGTTCCTAGGCAACTCCCACTGTCCAAACTCCAAAGACAAGAGAATTTCATTCTCTCTCATTCAAGCTGAAAGTAGTCGAGAAAGCAAAACAAGTTGGGAACTGTGCTGCGGGACGCGAGTTCAAGGTTCCTGAGTCTTCGATTCGCAAATGGCGCAAGCGACACTCCCTAGCTGGTGCCATCTCCAATTTAAACTCCCCGACTAGATATGCCATGCGACATCCAGACATCGAAGATGACTTAGTTGCATGGATAAAGACCCTAGATGGCCAAGGGATTTCTGTGAAGTATTCAGAAATACGCGACAAGGCAATGGAGTTTGCAAGGGAACGTAACATCCCTGAACACATGTTCAAAGCACGCTCGTCATGGGTGCAACGATTCCTCCAGCGCCATAACCTAAGCACCGCGCGACAGATTGCTCGCAGGCAAAAAGTACACGATGAACATCAACATTTATTTGAAAACGCTGAAGAAGTAAGCATTTAACAATAATTCTTTTATAATATTACATTTTAAATTTCTTATTGCATCAGGTCATTTACAGTGCTCTTAGTGGCTGATTCAATGCTGCTGCGTTCATTGGCTTTTGATCACAATTACCCTATCATCTATCTTTCAATCATCTAATTTATTAAGTGCATGTGAAATTGGTGTTTAACATTTGTTGTTCGATATTTATAAATTTCTGATAAAATAATATTTTAAGAAAATCTCTCTGCGCACTTTCTTGAAGAATTTCAGCTGCTTACTAATGCAATTTGTTGTGCTTGGAAGTTAGAAATATCTTGTTATGCATTTTAATCTTTACCTGCATGAAGAATTAATAATATATTAAGTGCTTGCGGTACACAATATAGATGCTGAAGTTACGAACAGAACTGTTGTTTTTTTTTTCTTTATTTTTGTTGGATCATGGACCAAAACAAATTTCTATGTCTCTGACAAATGATGATCACTATATCTATGCATATTTAGAATCACCAAATGAACATATTAAATCTTACAAACAGTATACAAGATTTTACTTACTGTAGAATATACAAGGTCTTACAGTAAATATACAAAAAAAAACCCAAAAACAAGCAATTATGTAGAAGATTATTATATTTATTTTTTAATTTAGAAGGTCTTTATGTTTTCCTTTCCTTCAATGTAACATATTATAATTGTTCTTTTCTTTAGATTGTATTGTCTGCAGCAATGGCAGCTCAGATAAGCTTAGAGGACCTACAAACGACCAGTGTACCCATTGCATATGTGAGGCGTGTTGAAAAATTCTGCGCATCTCATAGACTTCATAGGTATGTCCAATGGATTTATTCGGTGTGAACGCACCAAAGGTAACCCACAAAAGTTCAAAGACTTATTTCCAGTGGAGTCCTTTTTTTGGTGATAGGTCAGTATAATGCATGGCACATCCCTACTCTTTTCTGAAGAGTATACAGAAAAACTTGCCTAAGTCAACTTTGCCTATCTCAAATAATTTCAAAGTCGATTTAATTTTACATGTGAAATTGGTGTGTTTTCCATTAATTAACGATCTGCAAGTCAAATTTTATTTAAGTCGAGCAGTTTTTCAATGCCATTTGGATTCAACTTAGGCAAGTTCAACTGTACTACAATTTAAACATGCACACGTGCCATACAATATTGCACACAGGAGCAATGAAACCGAAAGGTGATGCCTTTGGCTCTGAATTCTGGTGTTTAGTCAGTCAATTGTATTCCATCATTGTGTGAATATAACCAGTCCCTGCAGATTTCTTGTTTGTTTTTAATATGTTCCAATTATGATTTGGTTAAAATTCAAATTTATATTTTATTCTATTTGTAGCATTTACTTCACACATGAAGAAAACAAGCAAGTGTATGGGAAGTGTAACAATCCGAATGGACACGGTCATAATTACACAGGTATGAGACAATCAATAAAGATATAGCAGTGGATTTAAAAAACAATCTGAACTGAAAATTATAAATATTTCATAAAGTTTAGCTTTAGGATAAGGTTTGACGATTTAGCTATTGAGAGCTGCAGCTGCAGCTTTTTATAGTAATCCTCTGCTGTTATTATTTGATATGCAATTTTCTACTCAACGATTTATTTTGGTATTTAATTTTGCAAGTGTTATAATATGCCTGAATTTGTATTTTTTATTGGAAACATGAAATATATCAAGTGAAATTCAAAACCAGCAATAAATACTTTTGCCAATTAAATGATGCTTTATAATTGAGGTCTTATGTTTAATGAGTGGCTTCAGAAACCATAAGGTGTGTGGATAAGTTCAAATAGAATATAGGTCACTCTAAAATATCAAGGTCATTTTATTTATAGAAAGATATGTATTATGTAAATTGTAAGCCTAAATATTATGTACATTTTCAAATTTTCCTCATAATCGTAATTGTACATATTAATTAGGCTTTATTGTAGTTTTATATGAAGTATACCATCCCAATAAAACATGTGGAGTTGAAGTGTATTAAATATTTATGAAAATTTTGTTTTTATCTTTTCAGTTGAAGTTGTTCTGAAAGGAAAGGTAAGATTTAAAATATTACTTGATATTGAGCATATTTTATTTTATTAATTGAACAAATTGTTACTTGGTGAGCAACATATTTTCTGACTCTAATTTATATGCTAAGTAAGCAGCCCTAGTATTGAATTTGATTGTTTTAGCTTTAGACTACAATAGACAGTATCTTATTCATCCTGTGTGTTTTATATCAGTGTGTTAAGATAACAAAGTTGTACAGTAAATTCTAGTAAAATCGAGATATTGGTGTCATTATATACAGAATTTAATGTATATTCTTGATTTACATTTATTTTCAAGACTTTAACAAATGTTAATATTTAGAAACATTTTACGTACCCCTTCGTATTCGTAAATTGAAAAATTTGTAAACTAGATCAGGTGTCAGTTTCTACTACCGAGCTATCCTCTGCCATTGAGCGCCACTAGGCTGACAGCGACCAGGCCTAGGTAAGGTAGGAACCTTCACACACAAACTGATGGTGCAGCAGCGTAGTCTAATGCACTAGACTAGCTAAATTTACCTTCGATAAAAAGGTATTGTAGTGGCTAGCATTCTCGCATTTAACAAAATATTGTTTTAATTCTTATTCAGTGTGTGTGGCTTCCTTCTCCCATAATGCACTTGTTTTTATTAAACATTCTGCCATTAAACAAGGTTTTAATGCTGTCCTCATTGATATCGATAATATGAGAGGCACACTTAAGAATATGCTTCACACAAATAAGAGGCATACAGGTCGAGGGTCAGTGATTTTGTGATGTCACAATCAATATTAGTGTATAAGTGGTCAGGCCTGGAAAAAGAATGTTTGTGCCTCCGACCATGAATTTTGTCTCGATAAATTGCCTGCAGAACCAAATGCTATCTGTACATTATATAGCCCATCACTTTATTTTTTAAAATTTTATCCCCAAAATTGCCTACGGGACATCGTGTTTCCACCGACTGCTAGTTGCGCAGTCGTGCACTATTTCCAGCCCTGTAAGTGGTTATGAATTGATTTTTTTTCATAATTTAACAAAATTGTGTTGGACTGACAGGGGTCCCAAGGTGGAAGAAATCATTTCCGGGAGGTCGGTTAAAAATGCTCTCAACACTTTTAGTTTGCTGGCAATGGTGATAACCACTGGCCCTGACTTCCATGAGACAATTGATAATAAGACCAAAGGTTATGTTATATGAAGCCATCACTATGTTTAAGATTATGAATAACCTTGCACCTCATTATTTATCTAACGGATATGTCTTTAAAAATAATTACTATGATATAAGAACTAAACCTGAATTTATATTGCCAAAAACTTAAAACTGACTGCAGGTGCAAAACTTTGGAACACATATTTGCGATGATATAAAAAATGTTAAGAAACTGTCTTTATTTAAAAAGCATATAATTGCGACATTGTAAATACATTTAACAGAATGTTTGTAAACACTATTGTGGTAGTATCCTACATAAACTACTGTATTTTTGTCCTGTGTTCCAGTTAATCAGTAAAAGTATAGTTAAGTTTAGTTTAAGATGTAGTGTAGTTGAGATTTATGGTAGTTAAACAATTGTTAGTTAATTTTAGGTTTTATTTCTTAGTTTTTTTCTTTTTTGTATTCACGGCCTTGCAAAATAACAACTGTTTGTTGAGCCAAGTTTTCTGTGTTATTATTAGAGAAAATCATGAGGAGATGGGTTATTTTCTGGGAGATTCTTGCTTGCTTGCGGGAGTTCAGGAGGCCGTCCTGATTTCTGGAGACTCCTGTGACTTCTGTGAGATTTGAGACCACTTGACTCATACAAATGCTGTTTATACACATATTAGTGCATGAAAAATGGAAAGCTCACTTGACTAATACTTGCAGAGATGTAGTTATGGTGGGTGGAGTTGGGCTGGACCACCCAGCCTTTTTCTACCCAGTTTATAGCTAATTTTGTGGTCCTCCACCCACCCTTATTAACTCACTTTTCCATCCTTAAAATCCACTCTTATTATTTAGTTTACTAATGATATCACCCACCCACCCTAAAAATGTCTATCACGCCCTTATAGTTTTCTTCAGCTACAACCCTCTCTTGTGCACAAGCTAGTGTTATCTTTCACAATCACTCTACAACCTGTTCAATTAACCGTATATAAAAAATGGTTTGTGTAACAAGGTTGTAGTTACATTGTAGGTAATCAATAAAATGTTCATGAAAGTTTGTACAGGTGGTTATGCATCCAACAAATAAAATAAACACCAACTTAAAATTCTGTTTTCCTGAAATCAGCTAAAGTTGTTATATTTGTATCTTTTTTTGTTCTACCTTTGATTGCATCAAGACTTGATTATGATGATCATGTACATCACATCATATTTTGTCCATTTTTTTTCCAACAAGGTGGATCCTAAGACTGGAATGGTGATAAATCTTGTTGACTTGAAGAACATTATGCAGGTGAGTAAGCAATGCATTATGAGATTGTTTTCTTTTTTGCTTTAATTAAAAAAGAAATCAATAGTGTGTGATAGCTCAGATGGTAAATTGTGTGTGTGTGTGTGTTTGGAAGGTTTTTCAACTCGGCCACAAGTAAACTCGGCCACAAGCCAACTTGGCCACAAGCCAACTTGACCACAAGCCAACCTGGCCACAACTAACTCGACCACTGTCAACTCGGTCACAAGCCACAAGCCACAAATGAGTTATCGTACCATCAGGGATGTCACCAGCTTTTTGAAGTGCTGGTCGGCGATCATTCCACGTTTTCCCAGGGGTGGGGTGCCAACCCCCCCCCCCCGTTTTCCCGGGGGTGGGGGGGGGAGGTCGCCGTATTCGTGAAAGCTCTTAAAAACCAAAAGGCCTAAGTAAGTCGAGCAGGCCTAGGCCCAAGGCTAGCTGACGCGATTTTTTTTGGCTAGGCCCACCCAGGTAGGCCTAGGCCAGATTTTGAGGAATGCAACAAAACAGATGAAGATGAGACTTACTGTAGGCCTAATTAAATTCAATAGTTGACATGCTTTGTTTTAGATTAAAAAATAATAATGAACAAATCCCGGCGACGAAGCGTCGATCCGACTGTACCCAGTCGCATTGTTTGCCGTAATTTCACATGTTTGACGATTACCACGATGAATGTGTATGTCACTGATTCATGTGCACTCATTTATTTATTTTTTGTCCATTTACACACATTATATACCTGTCTCTTATACACATCTAGATGTGTATAAAAGACAGCCCCCACCCTCCAATTAAAAAAATAATGGAAAAACAATAATTATATTCAAATTCAATCTGAGAATGCCATAATCATAAATTTCTTATCTTACCCACAACCATGGTGGGGCTGAGGTGGACCCTCTATCTATGAAAACCCTCTCCGTTTGGCCCCCTCTGTTACCGATTCCTGTATCCGCCACTGGTTTCTCAAAAGGGAGATCATTAGTAAACAATAATCGCTGTATACTAATGTCAAATAGTCATTTTTTAAAACATGAAGCATCATATTTTTGGGAATTCTTATAAAGGTTGATGTGCAATTTACTATGACATAATATTACATGGGTTGCGCTTGGCTGGGGAATCACAAATTGGGTCCCAGAGAAAAAAGTTTGGGAAGCAGGGGTGTATACCAGCTTTGGTAAAACAGGGGGAAGCATACTTTAGTGGCAAAATGCATCTTTCCCACCTTTTATTTAACATCCTAGTAAAGAAATAATCAGTAGGATTATTACATTGAGTTTAAAATGTTGAGCATCATATCCATGTTTCCAAATACATGAAGCCTACAAAAAATAGATGCAATAGGCAGAAAACACTACAATACGATTCCTATTGTTTGTATTTGTGTGCCCCTTGATGGTGTTGAACTACCATATATTAATTTTATGTGTTGTGGTGTGGTGTTTTGGCAAAATTGAAGCCAAAACATTCATTACAAATTAGGCACTAAAAGTGCCCAAGTAGAATACCAAGGTCCCAACACAACTTTGCATATATTTTAGTTAGTGAAAATTCTTCAACATAGTACTAATGATTTTTTTAAATATTTTTTCGTAATAGAAAGCTATAATGGAGCCTCTAGATCATCGAAACCTGGATGTGGAAGTCGCGTTCTTCAAGACCCGCGTGAGTACAACAGAGAACGTGAGCATATTTATATGGAACCAGATGTTGGCTCATCTTCCTCACCCAGAAATTTTGCACGAAGTTAAAATTTTTGAAACAGATAAGAACATCGTATCATATAAAGGCGAGTTGAGTGGGTGCTAAATGCTCAGTTTGCTTAATGTTTTTATAAATTGTTTTAAACCAAGAATGTTGTAAAGCAAATGTTTAATGCGCTCCATATGAGCACAGCTGTCACATCAAGGGTATTGGCATGGGGACCACCATGGTGAAAACTAAGGGAATGCCGTTATTGAAGTTTTGATGGCAGAGGGGTGGGCGTTAAGCCATGCCAGTCAGGGCAATCCATCACACCCACACCGCAGGGTAACTTATATACCATCAAAATCAAAATAATAGAAATTGTATACAGTATTGTGAAAGTGTGTAAGTTGTATATTTCAATACATGTCAAAATAGATTTTAATTGCTGGTAATAACACAGTGATAGTAGTAGTAGTAGTAGTAGTAGTACAAAAGTAGAAATTTACTAGCTTGAATAACTATCAGGGTTAAGGCAGCAGGGGAAGATTCGGGAATTCATAGAAGAGGGGGCCCAGTAAGCGAGTCTCATTATGGGAAGTTACCTCAGCGCTACCATGGTTGGGGCTGAGGCAAAAAAATATATGATTATGGCACTTCTAGATGACTGGAAATGGCATCATCAAGCTTAAATTTGAATATAATTTCCTTTTTTCTCCATTTTTATAAATTGGGTGGTGGGGGGGCTGTCTCTTATACACATCTAGATGTGTATAAGAGACAGA